GCCTCAGCCTCCCAAAGTGCTGGGATTACAGGCATAAGCCACTGCGCCCAGCCTAGAATACTCATATTATTAACATTCCCATAAATGTTATTTAGAGAAGGTTTAGCAACACTTATCACTTATTTGAAAATGCTTTATATATATTTTAGCATATAAAATAAGGTGGCTTTTCCATTCAGCTTCAGTTTCCCAACAGGATTACTGAGTTCTTGATGTAGCCCATTAATAATTAGGGCCAAAAAAGTATAGTGTTATATATGTTCAAAAAGGTCCTTAGGTAATTTCAGTACTTCTACTTCAAAATCATTGACTTAGTTGTAAGTTCTACCTATTACAACAAGAATTCTCCATCCTCATTACATGTTAGTAGTGTCAGGGAAGACTTAAAAATTATCAATGCCTGGGTCCCTCTCCAGACCTTTAAACTGGAACTCATGGGTGGGGCTTGAGCATCCACTTTTAAAAATGTTTTCCAGTGATTCCAAAGTGTAGCTATATTTCCCATCAGATTTCTCTGATTTCTTGTGGCCTTCACTTTTTTTCTATTTTGGTATCATGATGAATTTCAGATCTCATTTCCTGTCTTATGCTTTGTGTCCCCTGGGGTAGGGACCTTGCCTTCTTCATTTCTGTACCCTTTTTGAACAAGTGAATTAGTCATCAGGAAAAGGTCTCAAGCACACATAGGTTTTGTTCTGAGTCTCAGGTTCACAGGCTAATCCTAAAGTCTTTTTCCTCCACGAGGTCAGAGGTTGCTTGTGATGAAGGGAATGGTTAAGTCTGTAGTGCAGATGGTGGAGGGGAGTTCACCCTGTTTTTAGGAATAGCATTGGAACTAAGAATTTTATGTCTATATGGGTGAAGGGGCAGGGATGTGTAGGAAGACAGTTCTAATTAGGATGGAGGAATTATACTAGGAAGTAGAGGTAAAGGGAGTGAGAAGGATTAGTAAATAAAAGAAATGTGAACTTACCAAATAGGCTAGTGTAGACCCCTGGAGTTTCTTGATTAAGTGAATTAACTAGATTTTAGAAAGGTAGTGAGGCAGTCATATGCAAGGAAGGTTTCAAAGTCTGGAGACAAGAAGTCAAGCAACACTTTGAGAAATGGTTGAGCTTTATGGGAATGGAGAGAATTACACTATTGAGAGATGTGAAAAATAATGAAGAGGGTTTCACAATGTGAAATTGTGTTTCTCATTTGAATCCGAGAAACAAACCAGCAGAAGCTGGAGACAATTATGTCTAAAAGACATTGGGGTAGAGGGAGCACGAACGCCAGGGAGAAAGGGAACTGCAGGAATTAGTGCTGAGAAGCAGGAGTTTAGTGGAAGGAGGAGGAGATCCAGTCCCAGATACAGGCCAATAAGTCTTTTCCCTCTCCCAAGCATGGCAGTCAGCCCTGCAGGAAACGGTACAAGAGAAAAGGCCATCATACCTGCCAGGCTTCCTGAAATACAGAAATGACATCACAGCTGCTATGTCGGATCAATGCCAGGATAGATGTCCTCTTCCTGAAGAAGCTGTCATGGAAAGAAAAGAAAAGAAAAGAAAAGAAAAGAAGGAATGGAGCTGATGTTACTTTACAGGGGGGAACCTCAGGAACCAGCATGTAACATGAGGTAGTCTAATTGTTTCTTCAAGGAATGCATTATTTCTGTTGGAAAGTTGATGGGAGATGATTATATTCCTTTAGTTTTTTTCCTCTCTCACCATGTTTCTAAGTTTTTTATCAGTCCTCTGTCAATTCTCTACTACACTCAGATATTTCAGAAAACTTTCGGATGTGTGAAAGGCTGATCGCTATTTTCTATGTCAGTAGAACTATCCACCTTTACAACATTTCATGGTTGCATCTTTTTCTAAGTGTCTCTGTGGTGGCAGCCATGAATGAGACCCTGCCAGGTCTCCATGGCAGGGAACTGATTGACAGAAGGCCCAGGTCACTGCATTTCAAATTCACAACCTCCTTTGCACAGAAAGCTTCCTTCCCACAGGCTCCCAGCAAGGGCATGAAAGCAAGCCTAGTTCTCTGAGGCTCTCTTTAACTCTAATGGGTGACTGGTTGGAGGATTCCCCATCAGCCTTGCAAAAACTGTCTTAAGAACTGCATTGATACCTAAAATTTCTTTCCCTTTCTTTTTCACAGGAGTCAGCTTTGCATAGTGGTCTGTGGGTTCTCCCACACTACCTTCATGCCTGCCCCACATTCCCTCACAGGTGTCTTC